ACTATGTAATAATCATTTTTAAAAAAATGAAATTTTAAAAAAAATTTAAAATTTGCCGCCGGCGCCCGTACGTCCCGATGTCACAGGGACAGGAATATAGAAGCCGGATGAAGGCATCGGCCGGAGGAGATGGCTGGGGACGCTGCAGGGGACGCATCACGGGAGTGAAGGACAAGGTAAGTGCTGCAGGGACTCCCTATGCAACGCTACATGGTAAGCCCGAGTGTAGCTCGGGGGGGGTTACCGCTTTTGGTACTGAAACTTTACCCCGAGCTACACTCGGGAATACCACCAGGGAGGTTAATAATGTGTTTAGAGTTATTATTGAGATGGAACCCAAGATATGTGTATTGGGCTGGCTGGACAGAGAAGTATATGCTCTTCAGACCCTTATGACGATCCTTCATTTGCTATTTATAGCAAGAAAATTCATAGCAAAGCAATGGATTTCCATGGCTTCCCCAACCAAGTAAATGAAGTCTTCCAAAGAGACCATATGGTTTATCAACATAGGGGATGTCCAGGTAAATTTTCAAAACTGTGATGCAATTGGCTGGACATACCAGGATTAACTACAATACAATTAGTTATGGACAAGTTGCTAGGGAGAAGTATATAAGAGGGTATTTTCATGTTTTTTTTTGTGGTAGATAACAGTAAGAGCAGCACACTAGTAGTTGAGGGATTAAAGTAGGTTGAGATCAACGGATGGAAAGTATGGGATTGTAACAAACAATATTTGTATACAAATAGGGGTGAAAATATATATTTCACTTAAGTCGAATAATTAATAAATAAATGGAATTTTGAGAAAAAATGTGGAGAATGTCTCAGACATTTAGAGAGTCTTAAATAAAATTGGTGTATTTCAATAATAATAATCACGTAATAATTATTGATTTTTTAAAGAATAGGTTTTCAAGAGGGCGAAAGGAATCTACAGTATATTTGGTGGTAAATATACAGTATATGCTTTTATTGTAGGCTATGAAATAATAAAAAGAAAGGTGGAGAAGGTGCCACTGAGTGTAGATTGTAAACACTTTATTAAAAATCGATTAAAATTGCACTCACATTTTGAGAGATATACATGGGCACATTTTTAGTATATGGCTATCTTCCAGGGCAGATGTGGACATGCTGCAGATGTAGAACATGCAGAAGTTGGATCTGGAGCAAGCTTGGGGTTGTGAAGGCTGAGTCCATGTCAGGCTGTAGTATGGAGGAGGCCGGATGAGCTCCATAAACTGTGGCAGAACGCAGGTGGACTGCAGAGTTCCCCATGACCGGAAGTGACATGACGACGTTTCGGAGAATGCGCACCAGCTATGAAATAATAAACTATTAAGAAAACTGGAGTGAAAAGTTTGGTTAATATGAATTGTATATTCAATTGTATGTTTTTTTGAATTGTGTATGTTTTTTGAAAATGGAAAATAAAACTTTAATAAAAAGTATCTGATTGGAAAAAAAATTTGGTATATGTGTTTCTATTGTGAATAAACATGGGTTTATGAGGTTTGTAAATCATTGCATTCTGTTTTTTTGTAGATTTTACACAGCGTCCCAGCGGTTTTTGGAATCGGGGTTGTATTTAGCTGGTCCAGTTTGATATACAGTTGTGCATGCCAGGAGGAACTGACTTGAGTTTGTAATACCATTGAGATAATTTTTTCATCTAGATAATTTGTTGTGAACTCTGTGGGGATGTTTTTCATTGAAAGTCCCTAGAGAAGATACCCAATATCTTGAGAATTAAATTAAAAAACATTGACTCTAATAAAGGATATAAAAGAGGATCTACAGACAGACAATTCTGGATCCAGGAAAGTCTGTTTTGTCTAGTAAAAGGTTGGCACACATTGCTTTGGAATACTCTGTGGCAGCCTCTTGTTATTCAGGTACATAGTTTGATGCATTCATTAAAAAAAACATTAAATTGCATAATTTTTGTGTTTTCCGGTTATTCAACCATACACTATTTATACACCTTCAACACATCTCTGAAAATTAGCTATTGGTAACATTTAAATAACTACAAAATATAACATATTATTGTTAATTCTATTACTGTTCACACATTGATTCTTTATAATTTCATTGTTAGTATGCTCGTTCGGTATAATTATATTCAGACGACGTGAGCATTGTCCAGAGCTCTGATTTAGATGAAGCATTTAATAATTTTATGACATTTTAAATATAGGACACCAAAGTGTTTTTTTTTACAGAAGAAAAAAACACTGTTCAGGCTTTACATGTCAAATCAAAAACAATTAAATATTAATGGAAATTATTAAAGCAAAATTCAATCTGCTTATATATATATATATATATGTTTTAGTTATGGATAGAGTGGGGAAGAGTTTGAGCCTTTATTAGGTCCTTTTTGCTGTCTGTCTCTCTGTTAGTAAGATTCACCCTTTCTATTTGTCCGGGTAATCATTATCACCAAGGCAGATTGTGATGAAAATCCAAAATATTATACTTGTCACCAGAACATGAGATTGGGGAAATCTTTAATGTCAGCGCCTGTTCCAGTGACAGCTTTCTGAGAGGTATTATGTTCTTTTTATCTTCTTGTGAAGGCCCCTTTTCACAAGAGCAGTCGATTGGGTCCACCTGTCCATTTTTCACATGGATCCAAATGGATTCTCCATTCTCCTCTATGGGGCAGTGGATGTAAACAGACTTGTATTACACCCATCCACCTCCAATCCTATCTGATGTGCTAAAAACAAACAGAAAGGGATCCATTCCCCTTTAACTGAGCAGATCAGATCAGAGGACAGTTGGGTGTAAACTGACAACTGGTCCGTTTACACCCGACCATCCATAGAGTAAACTGTTCTGTGTCTGCTCTGCGTAAGTAGAGTGGACATAGACCTGTCATCTGCCCAGCGGGGGATCAATAAACAGATTGCCTTCTGAGCAAACCGATTCAGCCCCGTGTGAAAGGGGCCATATGGAGGATATCAACTATATGGTCAGCAGCTGAACACAATTTTGTGGACCAGACTGGTACACAAAGTGAAAAAAGGTGCAGTGCTCTACCTTTAAACCTATGCCTAAACCATGAGAAAAAGCGAATAAAACCTATGATTTATCTGTGTTATTATTTCATTTTTAAAATATAATAAAATAAAAATAACATTAAATCCTTACTATATCTTCAATTTATGTGCAACACTATACAGCTGTGCAAAACCACAGATTATTGCTCCATGCTATCTGCTAAGTATATCCCTGGAATGTATAATAAGGTGTATTTCATCATTGCTGTGTCCTATGTGCAAATAAACATCAATTGTGCTAACTGCAAAATATTGTTCAGCAAGACCTGCAGAATATTGCAGAGCCTGAACCCATCCCCCAGTCATTGCTGCACCACCTAAGCCTTTGTGGCATCCCACAAAATGAATGAAGCAGAGGCAGGAAGATCCTTTCACATCATGTCCTCAGGTACAGCTTCCATTCCAGCAAGGAGAACAGTGAGTTGCTCAATAGTGACATTGCCAAATCTCTAGGTGGCTACCAAGCAAGAGTAGCTAGGTAAAGGATGTGTTTCTATTTTTTTTTTGAGGGATTTAAGACAAAAGGTACAATATTTGAGGTACTGATTATGCACTATTAACATTTCTAAATGTTTTTTTTTTGATATAGCAAATTTCCAGCTGTGTGCGTTCAGGTCTAATTTTAGTTTCAATTGTATTATTATTATTATTATTATTACATCGAGTTTATATAGCGCCAAAGGGTTTGCTCAGCGCTGTACAATAGGGGGGGGACAATACATGGCACAGTACAACAATAACAAACAATGTACGAGGGGTAAGAGGGCCCTACTCTTTCGAGCTTACAATCTAGGAGGGAGGGGGTAATGGTACAGTAGGAAGTGGCTGAGGGGAATGAGGGGTGGGAGGAAAGAGGGAATTGTAGCATGTTCTTGAATGATTTCACAGTTAAAAAATTTAGTAATATGATTATGTATTGGTAAATGGACAAATGATCATATAAAGGCTCTAAATAAAGGCTTTAAATCCTATGTGCATGCAATAAAGTGAATTTTTACCCATATTATTGCATATACATGAGGGTTGTTTCAGCAACATTTCTTAAGAATGGAGCCAACACATCTATAAATTTTCAAGATGCAATATGTTACATATTTGCTCTTGGGTTTAGAAAAACTTTAAGCTTGATGGAAAATTTAATTTTCTCAAAAAAGCAAAAGGACAAATTGATTTCATATTGTAAATTGTTATATTCAGTATATTGTTTATCTCTAATAATTTCTTTAATAATTGTTCAAGGAACATACAAATTATACTGTAACATAAGTAACATCTTGTCCATCTTTTTGCTAACTGCTATCCTAAAACATTTCAGCATTTCAGTATTACTTATGATACAGTTCCATGCAGTATGTCACTTGGATGGATCTTTTACATTTTATCCATAAGCCAAATATATAAACCATTCTGTGACATTACAGCAATAAATGACGCCTAAAACAAAAACAACTGCGCCACAAGAACTATGTGAAAAATTTGGAAGTGAATGCTGATGTGCCTTGATAAGAATCAAAAATATTGATAAAAAATTTTTAAAAAATGAAATTAATCAAAAATATAAAAACATTTTTTTTTTCATTTTTGTGGTGTTGGACATGTATTTTATAAACACAGAATTTATTATGATTTGTGTATAATTATTTTTGATTAATTTCATGTTTTGTGCTGTTTTATTGTTTCAGTAAATGATGCCTAGCTGTAACTTTTCTCAGCCAACAGTGAAAGTAACAAATACTTTGTAATAAAAACTACTTAATAGTTTGTGTTTTGTGTCCACAAAATGGACCTAACCTGGTAGTCTGTATGTTTACTGGTGATTTATTTTCAGACTGAAGTTTTCCCTTATATAGACCTTTCTTATTTTGTTCCTAATTTCACAAAGTTTTAGGCTATAGGCCAATAGAATATTATTAGAAGAGTGTGACCATGTCAGCTGAGAACCAAAGTACAGTAATAGAATTTATTCTTCTCGGATTTTCAGACAATCCCAACATACAACCTTGGCTGTTCCAGGTATTCTTACTTGTCTACGTGATCACACTGGCCATTAACATTCTCCTTATAGTGGCCGTCAGAACAGACAATCATTTACACAATCCTATGTATCTATTTCTTACTAATCTGTCCTTTTTAGACATCTGTTATACTTCAATCATTGTACCCAAGATGCTACTTAATATTGTGTTGTCAGCAAAAACTATTTCATATACTGGTTGTGTTCTCCAAATTTACTTCTATCTTTTTATGGGTGAGACAGAGTGCATACTATTGGCTTTCATGGCCTTTGACCGATATGTAGCTATCTGCAATCCCCTGCGTTACAATGTTATTATGAATACAGTCTCCTGTACCAGGTTGATTGGCTTGTCTTGGATGGCTGGTGGTAGCATAGCCTCCTTTGATATATATTTAGTATGCCAATTAAAGTTTTGTGGACATATCACCATCAACCACTTCTTTTGTGAAGCTCCATCCTTACTTCAGCTATCTTGTGGGGATAAATTTGTGGACAACACCATAACTTTGGTTGGTGGCTCCATATTGCTTCTAATTCCCTTGTGCCTCATCCTCTTTTCATATATACAAATTTTCCTAATCATTCTCAAACTCCCTTCTGGGCAATACAAAGCCTTCTCTACATGCACATCCCATCTAATTGTGGTGACCATCTACTATGGAACATCCATATTCATGTACATGAGACCAAGGAATTCAGATACTGGAGTGACAGACAAGATAGTGTCGGTGTTCTATACAAGTGTTACACCAATGTTAAACCCTTTAATCTACAGCCTAAGAAATAAAGATGTTCAAAAGGCTATTGGACAGTTGGCAAGGTGTAACATTGATCACCATGACAGCTAATCATGTTGATCTCAGGATTTTTTTTACATACAAACCCCCATTGGTTCCATTGTCACTGTGTCTCAAACAGGCATAGACAACTGACTATGGCAAGATATCTGTCACAGTGTAATACTGTGTGTTTAACCCTTTTTCTGCGAGGCCCTGTACTCCACTTTTAAACTCAGCTAGCAAGACCATTTTTGCAATTTTTTCATTGTTTATTTTTCCCTTACAGCTTTCAGAGTTTGTAAAAGACCCTTCTCCCCCAAGCAATATATTTTCTGAAAGTACATGACCAGTAGAATAAAAAGAAGGTGCTATTGATTTTTAAGGCCCCCCCGATATATGCACAAATGTTTATCAAATCAATATTTTTGCTGAAAATACACTAAAATCATTAAAAACACAGCAAAATGTACAAATTCACTGCTAAATTACTACTAAATATAAAAGCTTAACCTGTGTAGAGTTAATAAATAACAAATATTTGGAAATTTTAAATTGTACCTTTTTGCAAAGTGGTGAAAATCAAACGTCTGCAAAATATTTAAATATACACATTTCTCTAAAAATCTGAAGGTCTTCATTTTTTCACTTACAGCTTTCAGAGTTTGTAAAAGACCCCCCTCCCCCAAGAAATATATTTTCTGAAAGTACATGACCAGTAGAATAAAAAAAGGTGCTATTGATTTTTAAGGCCCCACGATATATGCACAAATGTTTATCAAATCAATATTTTTGCTGAAAATACACTAAAATCATTATTAGCAGATAAAAACACAGCAAAGTTTACAAAATTCCTGCTAAATTCCTACTAAATATAAAAACTTAACCTGTGTTGAGTTAATAAATAACAAATATTTGTAAATTCGAAATTGTACTTTTTTGCAAAGTGGTGAAAATATAGAAATATCCAAATTTCTCAAAAAAACTGAAGGTTCTCATTTTTCACTTACAGCTTTCAGAGTTTGTGAAAGACTCCCAAAACATATATTTTCAGAAAGTTTGCATTTTTTCAAGACCTTTGCGTGCTAGCACTGGGGTAGGGGGCACTTTAATTGTTTTTAAATTAATAAATTATTTTATTGTTTTTATTTTTACACTATTACTTTCAATTTCTTTTCTTTGATCACTTTTATTGCTGTCACAAGGAATGCAATCATCCCTTATGACAGCAATAGGCACGTGGCAGATACTCTTTATGGAGGGATCTGGGGTCTAGAAGACCCCAAATCTCTCATCTGACCTCAAAAGCATTCAAACCACCAGGATTATACATGGTATATGATCTCCATGTATAATACATAAGGGGGGGATATGATCTCCATGTATAATACATAAGGGGGGATATGATCTCCATGTATAATACATAAGGGGGGATATGATCACCATGTATAATACATAAGGGGGATATGATCTCCATGTATAATACATAAGGGGGGATATGATCTCCATGTATAATACATAAGGGGGGATATGATCTCCATGTATAATACATAAGGGGGGATATGATCTCCATGTATAATACATAAGGGGGGATATGATCAACATGTATAATACATAAGGGGGGATATGATCGCCATTTATAATACATAAGGGGGGATATGATCTTCATGTATAATACATAAGGGGGGATATGATCTCCATGTATAATACATAAGGGGGGATATGATCTCCATGTATAATACATAAGGGGGGATATGATCAACATGTATAATACATAAGGGGGGATATGATCGCCATTTATAATACATAAGGGGGGATATGATCTTCATGTATAATACATAAGGGGGGATATGATCAACATGTATAATACATAAGGGGGGATATGATCGCCATTTATAATACATAAGGGGGGATATGATCTTCATGTATAATACATAAGGGGGGATATGATCTCCATGTATAATACATAAGGGGGGATATGATCTCCATGTATAATACATAAGGGGGGATATGATCTCCATGTATAATACATAAGGGGGGATATGATCACCATGTATAATACATAAGGGGGATATGATCTCCATGTATAATACATAAGGGGGGATATGATCTCCATGTAAAATACATAAGGGGGATATGATCACCATGTATAATACATAAGGGGGATATGATCTCCATGTATAATACATAAGGGGGGATATGATCTCCATGTATAATACATAAGGGGGGGATATGATCTCCATGTATAATACATAAGGGGGGACATGATCTCCATGTATAATACATAAGGGGGGATATGATCTCCATGTATAATACATAAGGGGGGATATGATCACCATGTATAATACATAAGGGGGGATATGATCTCCATGTATAATACATAAGGGGGATATGATCTCCAGGTATAATACATAAGGGGGGATAGGATCTCCATGTATAATACATAAGGGGGGATATGATCACCATGTATAATACATAAGGGGGATATGATCTCCATGTATAATACATAAGGGGGATATGATCTCCATGCATAATACATAAGGGGGGATATGATCAGCATGTATAATACATAAGGGGGATATGATCTCCATGTATAATACATAAGGGGGGATATGATCTCCATGTATAATACATAAGGGGGATATGATCTCCGTGTATAATACATAAGGGGGGATATGATCTCCATGTATAATACATAAGGGGGGATATGATCTCCACGTATAATACATAAGGGGGATATGATCTCCATGTATAATACATAAGGGGGGATATGATCACCGTGTATAATACATAAGGGGGGATATGATCTCCATGTATAATACATAAGGGGGGATATGATCTCCGTGTATAATACATCATGGGAGATATGATCTCCATGTATAATACATAAGGGGGGATATGATCTCCGTGTATAATACATAAGGGGAGATATGATCTCCATGTATAATACATAAGGGGGGATATGATCTCCATGTATAATACATAAGGGGGGATATGATCTCCGTGTATAATACATAAGGGGAGATATGATCTCCATGTATAATACATAAGGGGGGATATGATCTCCATGTATAATACATAAGGGGGGATATGATCTCCATGTATAATACATAAGGGGGGATATGATCTCCATGTATAATACATAAGGGGGGATATGATCTCCATGTATAATACATAAGGGGGGATATGATCTTTACGTATAATACATAAGGGGGATATGATCTCCATGTATAATACATAAGGGAGGATATGATCACCACGTATAATACATAAGGGGGATATGATCTCCATGTATAATACATAAGGGAGGATATGATCACCACGTATAATACATAAGGGGGGATATGATCTCCATGTATAATATATAAGGGGGGATATGATCTCCATGTATAATACATAAGGGGGATATGATCTCCATGTATAATACATAAGGAAGGATATGATCACCACGTAGAATACATAAGGGGGGATATGATCTCCATGTATAATACATAAGGGGGGATATGATCTCCATGTATAATACATAAGGGGGGATATGATCACCATGTATAATACATAAGGGGGGATATGATCTCCATGTATAATACATAAGGGGGATATGATCTCCATGTATAATACATAAGGGGGGATATGATCTCCATGTATAATACATAAGGGGGGGGATATGATCTCCATGTATAATACATAAGGGGGGATATGATCTCCATGTATAATACATAAGGGGGGATATGATCTCCATGTATAATACATAAGGGGGGATATGATCTCCATGTATAATACATAAGGGGGGATATGATCTTTACGTATAATACATAAGGGGGATATGATCTCCATGTATAATACATAAGGGAGGATATGATCACCACGTATAATACATAAGGGGGGATATGATCTCCATGTATAATATATAAGGGGGGATATGATCTCCATGTATAATACATAAGGGGGATATGATCTCCATGTATAATACATAAGGAAGGATATGATCACCACGTAGAATACATAAGGGGGGATATGATCTCCATGTATAATACATAAGGGGGGATATGATCTCCATGTATAATACATAAGGGGGGATATGATCAACATGTATAATACATAAGGGGGGATATGATCTCCATGTATAATACATAAGGGGGGATATGATCTCCATGTAAAATACATAAGGGGGATATGATCACCATGTATAATATATAAGGGGGGATATGATCTCCATGTATAATACATAAGGGGGGAATATGATCAGGTTAGCACATCTCATTCACCTTATGACATCCTGGTCCTCCTTACTCTTAAGCCTGGATGGGATGTATTACTGTTGTCAAAATGTCAATTTTACCTAATATCCTATACCTCTTCCATGTCCTACCCATCCCAGTCCCCTCCTATTTCCTAAGAATTTTTCAATATCGAACACTGACCTATGTCTGGGGAAGTACCAAGCCTTGAATCTCCAAAACAATTCTTTTTTCTCCTAAAATTAAAGGAGGCTTGGGCCTCCCACACTTCACCAAATATTACCAGGCGGCTCACCTTACTCAACTTACCAAATACCATGCAGTCCACTAAGTACTGCTCTGGGTTGCCCCAGAGTCTGTGGACTTTGATCCACTCTCTGTTGCAAACTTGCTGTGGCTCCACCCAAAGGATCATCGTGCTCTTCAAAACCTTGTCACCAGATACTGTTTATCTCTCTGGGACTCCCTCAGATTACGCTTTGGCCTGCAATCCCCCACAACCCTTTTCTGTCCTTCCTCCATAACCCAGCCTTTTATCCAGCCTGGACATCCCCGTTCTTGTTCCACATTTGGTCTTCTAACAATCTCATTTGGGCCCATAAGCTCATAACCCCAGACACCTTAAAATATTTTTTCAACCTGAAACCTTTGAAACCTATGGTCTCCCAAGCTCTAAACTCTTACGATATCTTCAGATCAAACACTTTCTC